TGACCTTTAGATGCCCAGATAGCTTCAAGGTTCAGTGAGATGCAGATGGACATCTCATTTTAAAATTCACTATTTTGATCTTGAAACTTGACAAAGTTTATTATTTTTTTTGCTCTTGAGTCATGCTTTTATCCTCCTGTAAGTCAGTAAGGCCTTCAACTTGTCATCTGGATAAAACTAGAGTTTATGCAGTTACAATAGCCAGGAAAGGGTTTGCTTTAGTGGCATGTTTCTTTCTGCTCTGTGTCAGGGTATGCTTTGTGATTACTGTTTAAAGGTAAATATTCAGTGTGAGCATTTTGAAAACTTTCTCTTTATTTCTTTTTTTTTGGTAATTGTTCACTTTACCATGGTTGAAAATTACTTTCCTTCATGCACATAGATCTCTGTGGAATGAAAATTTTGCTGTTCATCAGAATTGTAATCAATGCCCAAGACTCAGTTGGCATCTAACACTGAGTGTTAAGATCTATAGTCTAGTGCAGAGGCAATGCAGACACATAGAAACTAATGCCTAAAGGTAATCACATGAAAAAGAATTGATTTCCACCTTTCCAGTTTAAAGCAGCTATCCCTTTTCCTTTTAAATATTTTCAACTTTCCCTAAGGTCTATGACAATATTGTATTCACAGACATCCTTATTCTTCTTCTAAATGTCAGGCTGCTTATTCTAAGAGGTCTGAAGCTGGAGACTGTAATGTGCATAAAATAACTTCTTACACCAAAATATATAATATATTTAGCTGGACAAATCGCAGCAGCAACCAGTTCAGTAAATACATCTTAGGCACACACACATACAAGCTTATACAAATTATTTATTCAACCAAATAAAAACACCTGATTTGTATTCATGATGAAAAATGCTGTGGCAATGGAGGTTTCATTGGGACAGTCTGCTTATCTTACATAGCTATTAAAAAACCTGGGACGTTATGTGTGGATACCTCCCTGCCTCCACAAAGTATGGCAGGTTTCCATCTACCTGTTTTCTTTCTAGAAATGATCTAAGAAAGCTAAATTACAGGCTTTGGTAGCTGAAGTAAGAATGTAAAATTATCCAATATCAGTTGCCAGTAAAAGAAAATAGAGATAAATGCGAGGCTTTCAGGCCCTTCAGACTGTGGGTGGTGGAAAGGGTCTGCCTCGGTGCTGTGGACCTCATGGCTCTGCCAGCCAGCCCTCACCAGAGAGGGAGCTCACAGGTTTTCAGCAGTTTTCTTTGACTTTCTGATTATCTTACCTGGTACGGTTGCCAATGCTGGAGAAGTAACATTTTAAATTTATAAATGAAACCAGAAAAAGAACCCTGTCTAAGATCTAAAGTTTTTACCTCCTATATTTTATGTCTGTAGAAATTCCTGGGGCATCAGCATAGTTTTTCAGTGCTGTTGGCTGTACTCAGGTACCACAGGACTGAACTATGTAAAAACTGGAAAGGGAGAGAGTTCATGCTGTGTAACCAGAGAACTGCCCTGCTACCTGCAGCCATGAAATGATTCCATGAGCAACAAGGTATGAGGGTGGGGAGGGAAGAAGAAGATTAAAAAGGAGACTTCTGAGGAAGAAGAAAGACGCAAAACTATTGTTACCATTTATTCCAAATTTAAGTATTTGCTGCTTTCAACACTCCCTGGGTAGTTTTTTCCTTATATCTCTGCAATTTCTGATGGGGGATGACTCAGTTTATTCAAGTGAAGGGCATTTCTTGCAGTAACAGATGAGTGCTTACTAGAGGAAAAAAAAGGTATCTGATGAAGATTATTAAATTGCAGCCTTTCAGTACCTTAAAGGACCCTACAAGAAAGATGGAGAAAGGCTACTCATACAAAAGTAGTTACAGGGCAGGGGGAAACAGCTTCAAACTGAGAGTAGGTTTAGATTAGATTTATGGCAGAAGTGCTTTACTGTGAGGATGCCATGGGAGCTGGGCTTTCATCTAGGACAGGGAAGTCAATCCTGCCAAGGAGATGGTGTTGCCCATAAAGCTGCTGCTGCTGAATCCACAGTGGCACCCCTTTGCTCCATCAGCACAAGCCTCCTGCATTTCTTACTGTTCTGAGAGGGGAATACATGACATAGCTATTCCTCTATATAGTCAGCATATTTGCTTTGTGTTCACTTTGTAATGCTGACAGTTGCAAATTGAACAACTGTTGTTATTCTTGGCATATTTCCTCCTCCTTAGGGCACAACTCACTGTCCTAGAATTCAGAGGTTCTAATTATCTGAGTGTCTTGGTTTTTATTGTGTTTGACCAGGATTTTTTTTTAATCACAAAAAACAATCTGAGTGAAAATGATCTTTTCCTGATAGAGTTCATGGTTGTAAGAAAAAGGACAGAATCTGAGCAGATGATTATTATTAGCCCTAAGCTTCAAAAGGGCCAATGTAGCAGGCTGCAGACAAGGAGGCAAGGTGCCCACAGAGAAGAATACCAAAGGGTAAAAATATTTCAGGACAAATGCTAATTCCTATACAAAGCAATATCAAGGACACAAAATAAATGAATTTATTTCAAATAAATAAATGAGTTTATTTCAAAGTGAAAGTTGCAGAAGGACATCCAGTGAAACCATGCATAAAAATGCATAAAAAATTAAATAATGTGATACATTCTCATTTATATATCTTTTATGAGAAAGGGAGAGAAAATAATCATCAGGAAGACAATTGAAACTCTTGGAACCTATTGGGTGTCACTTTAACAAAAATTTTAATGGTGATTCTTATTTAGATAATTGAGGGGACATTGAAGAAGAAAGTCCACACCAGGAGAGGGGAAAGAGCAGATTAAAGACTGTTTAGGTGAGAGGGATATATTCAGACTGAAATCACAAGATGAACATATCCTTGATTTTTTACAGACCTGGCCAAACTGTATGTGCTTGAATAATTATGATTTTTAACCAAAAAAAAAAGCATTTACTAAAAAATAGTGAAGTCCCAGAGAACACTGAGATGCAGAAATACTCTAAAGAGAACAACTTTTTTTTAAAAGTGGAAGAAATGGTGATCCAGAGAACTACACCTTAGGCAGCTTAATTTTAGAATCCATAAAGACTAAAAGAAATTACATTTCAATAGCCATAGAAATTATTTGAAATTTAGAAAATATGAACCTAAAAATTGAGAAAAATATAATAATTTTGTATAGAAAAGAGATATAAATTAGGATATTACTGAACAATATAAAAAGATGATGATTATCTAGGCAGCCTGTCAGGGCAGAGCAAGACAAAAATTCAGTTTCAGTAGAAGCAGAGAAGACACGTGTTAGATTTTAGGACAAACTTGAAAATTATAAATATATTTGGGTACTATCATTTGCAAAATAGGTTGTAGAATTTGCAGTTGCAAAGTCCCTGAAGAAGAAAACCATCTGCCTTTTCCTACATAAAATTTGTTTTCACACCTCCCAGAAGTGAACTTTTTGTAAGAGCAAATTTCCACAGACTGCCCCAGCAAGGCCAGCCTTGATGGGTTGCCTCTGCCTGTGGTTGCTTAACTTTGAAATGGAAATAGATGTTTCATAGAGAATCTCACTTAGATTTCAGTTGGCAATACTCAAACAGAACAACGCCCTTTGGGAATGGTCAGGACAGAGATGAGCCTGCGAGGGCTTCTGAACCTTCTCAGAGAAATTACCCCTGCCTGTCCCACATCAGAAATGTCCTGGCACCTCTATAGCCCTGCTGTGCATGTCTTGAACTTAGGGGAAGTCTCAAGGGTGGTTTTTGCACATCAGAGCATCACCTTTTTGGTCCTGAAACACTGCTATCAAAACGTACAAGTGTTGTACAGTTTATCTACACAGAAATAAGACTGACCTCAAGGTTAGGTGAATCAATATATCCTTTAGAAAACATTAAAGAGTTATGTATTCTGCTAGGTAAATATTCCTACCATGTAGCAAATATAGAGGGAAATGGGTTTGCTTTGACCCAGTTAAAAAAGATACCTGAGATGGAAGCAGAAAATAACAGTTGAGCCTTGTCAGCAGATTTATATTTAATTGAGCTCCTCCGAGGGAGGCTAAAGCTGTGCAAGGAGAGAGCAGCAGCATGACACATATACAGGAATCAGGCCCATGGCAGCCTTGGCTGTCTGGAGAATGTGCCATTTGTGCACATGAACAAAAGCTTTATTGGACCACCAGGCAAACTTTCATCTGGAAAATGGCCATGTAAAAGTGGAGATTGGGAGGGAAGAGAGATCTCCAAACACAGCACATCCGACTGGAAGTGACTGAGCCTCTGGCTGCTCAGTAAACCACATCTTAAAATATCTTTTTTTTAAAAAAAGGCTAAAATCCCTCTCAAAATAAGTAGGTTTTGCTTCTTTTTTTTTCTAGGCAGCTGTTCCAAAACCTCACTGGTCTCATGATCTACACCACTTTTGAATTTCTATACTAAACTGACAGTTTTTTGCTATTTCATTTGTTCTTTTCTAGCAATGTCATTCAATTTTCATGGTCAGGGAGGAGCCACATCCTGTCTCAAGCTTTGTTTTGCTCTTTATCTGAGGAAGGCAAGTATCCTTCACTTTCAGAGCCATACACAGCGTAATAATCCCCGTGGTAATGCTTGAAGGAGCTGGTTTGACAAAACAGGACTGATGCTGCAATGTCACTGAAAGGAGTAGAGTGATGATAGTTCTTCTGGGGTCATTCAGCTCTTCCTGGAGGATGTTATGAGGTAATTAACATAATAAGAGTGAATTTGGGCTGTGGTTAGGGATAGGGCCTTCCCTGAGGCACTGGGATGAGGGGAGCGATCAGCAGGCCTCCAGTCAAGGACTTTTAGGCAGGAGCTTGATCCAATATCCACATCCAGAGCAGCAGCTCTGTAATTCTCAGGAAAGATGCAGCATGGCTTTGGGTCAGTGACTGGCCACCATTATTAACAACGACAAATCAGGACAGAGAAAAAACCCCAGTTCTGCCCTGCTTCTAATTCTGGTTCATATTCTTTCACGGACAGGTAACAGGCAGGGAGAATTCAGCAAAGAAGAAATGTTGCATTTCCATGACCCTTGGCCTTATCCTGCAGGCTGGGCTTTTCTCTGTCACACTATCTGCATTGCTACAAGGTCTAGGCAGTCCCTTGCCACATGATTTTTCATGAAATGGTAAGGTCAGTCTTTTTATTACATCTCACTGGTAACTCTGATTAAACTTGGATGTTTTCATCTCCAACTCTCGCCAGCAGCAATTTTTACATTTCTGAAACTTTAACATTTGGCTGCTAAAAATGCATTCCAAAATCTAGACATAGATACCCACATAAATAAAGGCTCAGTCACAGAGCTCTGATTTCAGAGGGCTGCAGTCAGTTGATGTCTGAGAAAATCAGACCAATGAGCTCCACATAGAGCAGTCTGATTTCTCTGAACACCTTTCCCAGTGAATATAAAACCATTGCTAAAGCAGTGAAAATATTATTCAAAAGATACAGGATAAATGTTACAATTCCTGGATTTTTAAATCCTATCTTCGAACCAAAACTTAACCTTTATCTTAAAAAACTGACTATGTGCATTTGGACTAAGAGTGCCAAGAGATATTTTTCTTATAGGTTGTTTCAAGGGAGAGTTAATATGTGGTTTTTATTCTTTTCTTTCAGCCCTCGGGAAAGAACACAATATACATACATGGGGAGAAAAAGCACAGCAATCATTGCAGAGAGGAAAAACACAAAAATCTTTTCAGAGCCATCATTTTTTTTCCTTCAGGTATTTATTTTTGGTGATGTCTTATCTAGGTGACAGAAAACACAGATGACAAACAGCAGCAAACAGTGCAGAGACTGGCAGCTGTCTGCATGAAATATGACAGGGTTTATGCAACCAACTCTGGCTCATTTCTCAACCCATTATTCAAGAAGTGTTACACACTGAACCTGCATGACTCTGATGACCAGCAGCATACATTCAGATCACCTCCAGGGACAGCACGAGGGCTGCAAATCCCCAGACCCAGGATGGCAGGTCAGTAAGTCAGTCAAATTGTACACTAATCCTTTATGTGTGCTCCCAGTTCCTTGTGAATGAGAGGAAAATAAAATAATTCTTCAGCAATTTGGGAATAAAGCTGAATTAAAATTACCATACTCTCATCTGTTGTGAGGAAATACAAAAGATAGAGTTTTTTTTCTTTATTACCATTTTCCATCACTACGGAACTTATTGCACTAGGGAATATACATAACCATTTGAAAAGCTGAAAAGGCAGAGGAGAGATCTGGGCTGACCTACCAGAATCATAGTAAAATTTAGGTTGGAAAAGACCTTTAGGGTCAGAAATTCCACTGTTAACTGAGCACTGCCAGATCTACCACAAATCACAACATCTAATAATACCACCAGGAAAACACCCCTGAGACAAAATATCAGCAAAATTTTCATATGGAATGCAGTTTGTAGACTGACAGCTGAAGAACAATCTCCCACAGATAACTGCTGCAATATTAGAAGGAAGCACTTGGATGTTTGGATAGCTACTTGATGAATAAATGCAAAAATCTATCTGTATTTACATCAGAAACCTGCTTTGTTTGGATGCAAATACAGTCCAAGCCGGACCCTAGCACACAGGATTGCAAATAGACCAAGTATTCCTGATGGGAAGCAAAATTTGGTATCATTCCATCCTTTAACAAATAAAGATGTTCAGGAAAAAACTCTGTAAGATAACTAAGTCAAGCTTCTTCCTCAGCATGTCTGGCACCCCCTCCTGTCAGGAACTGTCTGTTTTGTAGGCAATTGGTTGTTGAAGTGCATATCCTTGTGCATTGGGTGCTTTGTCATTCACAGGCTCACAGCCAGCAGTAACTTAATGCTGCTCTCGAGGTGTCTCCTCTCCATCTTTAACCTACAACACCTTCTTATCTATAGACAATTTCTAAAGATTTGTATGCTGGTGCCAGCACAGGTAACAGCTTGAGAGGTTTTAATATTTTCAGATTCTGCTCCCTTAGGCCAGCTGCAGAGAAATGTAAATACAATATAGTTAGCAATGGGCTGTTTGATCCCTTTTTGCATAGCTGGCACAGTGGTCAAGGACTGTCATTCCAAGAACAGCAGTATTTCCAGGCTTTGTCCCAGAACTGTTCAGCGTCACTGAGGAGGTGATGACACCACATTTGTAACATCCTATTTGTGTTAGCAGTAAAGAGAGAGACCCACACAAATGCCCCAGAAAAGCAAAACAGAATGACTGGCTTCTGAAGTCCAGTGGGTCAGGGGAGGGTATTCCACCCCTCTTCTTTCTCCTGATGGAACTCCATGTGAAGTACTGTGTCCAGCTCTGTGGTCATCACCACAGGAAACACATGGACCTGTTGGAGCAGGTCTGGAGGAGTGTCACAAAAGTGGTCAGAGAGAAAGACTGAGAGAGTTGTAGTTGTTCAACCTGGAAAAGGGAAGGTTCTGGGGAGACCTTACTGCAGCATTTCAATACTTAAAAGGGGGCTTATAAGAGAGATGGGGAAAGACATTTTTAGCAGGGCCTGTTGCAATAACACAAGTGGGTTTAAGCTAAAATATGGTAAATTTAGGCTAGCTCTAAGGAAGAAGATTTTCACAATGAGAGTGATGAGACACTGGAATGTGTTGCCCAGAGAAGTAGGGGATGCCTCATCCCTGGAAGTGTTCAAGGTCAGGTTGATCTAGTTGTCCAGAAAAACTTGATCTAGTTGAAGATGTCCCTAGATGTCCCTAGACATCATTGCAGGAGAGTTGGACAAGATGACCTTTAGAAGTCCATTGCAACCCAAACTCTTACAGGATTCTGTGATAATGTTTGGGCCTAGAAAGAAGCACAGTATAGGCTTGGCCCATTAAAATCACTTTCCTTTGATAACAAACAGAAAAGTCATTTATGTATCTTTCCTGTCTTCTGCTCAAATCACTAATATAATAAAAAGTTGCTCACATGAATAACAGGCACCCAGTGGAAGATCCCCAAACATCTCATTTTCTTTCAGCTCTCACTATAAGTAAAATAAAACATTCAATCTTCTTCTAGATAACACTTGGACTTGGTTTTCTGCCATGGTTTTATTGGATTTTTGAAAAATTTTTATCCCACTGTTGTACAGGTGAAAATCTATATATGACAATCTTTCAAATTATTAGTATAAACCTCTATGTTTGCACTAGATAGACTGTTTTCTACAGCTGAAATGACATGAAAAATATATGTGTAGAGAACACAGCTGTCAGTCATCTGCTAAGCAGAGAAAGCCCACAGACCTGTGTGCCTGGACAATACTGTGTGAAGAATGCAAAATTAACTTTTGAGGTGAGAGGGAATAATAGATTCTTTTTTTATTGATGCATTTTCAGGTGCTGACTGATCACTGCTAAGCTTAAGCACATAAACATCACAGGCACAGGGAAGAGATTCTAAACCATCCCTGTGAGATTGCCAGCTCCGTATTTCCTCCCAACCATCAAACTCTCGATCAGCTCCTGACGCACAAGTTACTCCCTTCCTCCAAACCCCTCCAGGTGTTGACTCACCATGAGGTGCAGAAAATCTGCCAAGGCAGCTCCTGACACAGATAGACCAGGATACATCACTGGGTTTGAGCAAATATTCTTTATTTCTTGACAGATTTTTTTAATTTTTAATGCACTTGCACCATGATGTAGAAGAAATGCACTGTTATTCTGTGTTCTCTGTGTACCATCCAGGCATGTCCTCAACAGATCTACAATGCCACTAGCTGGCATAACTGCATCTGAGGAGGTGAATGAAACTTCCTGGCCTCTCCTTGTCATGGAGTTTTAGATGACAGAATTACTCCAGCTCTACACATTCTTTAAGGTCAAAAAGGCTGTTTCCAGAGTGCTTTTGCCAGGGACCCAGTTGCTCTCTGCTCAGAAACCTTTTGTTCTGTACCTATGAGAATTTCAACAGCCAAAACAAACCTGAACAGCTTAAGTCATCAGAAGGATCTTTTCCAAACACCTGGTGGGACTGAAGATGTGGTCCCTGTTATGAAATGCTGGTGTAAAATGCAGTCAAGTGCTCTCAAGCCTAAGTTAGCATGAACTGGACAGCAAAAACTGGTGATTCCTTACAAGCCCAAGTTAACAGAGAAGACTCCTAGCAGCTGCCAAACAAAAGCCAAGCTGGCATTGTGGCTGTAGATCCTCTGACATGTATTTAGAAGGTTTTTTGTGGGAAGAATCACATGAGGAAGAAGAATGACCAGGAGATGCCAGAGGGGAACCAGTGCTGGAGAAATAATGAGTCATCTTAACAACACTGCCAATTCTTTCCCTGCTGCTTTCTGACACAAAGGGAGCAAGTTCAGCACTTGCAGCCCCCAAGAGAGCTGCATTTTGTAGCAGCAGCATTTCCCTTCAACACTGAACTTTTTATTCTGGAAAGGGCCCCTCCCTTATTGCCGGTTTAAATGATGATTGTCTTCCAACTCTGATTCCTTTTCTGAAAACCTAAAATATTTTCCTCCTCTGAGGGGAGCAACAATGACACCATTACATCTGACAGTCAAAACTCAAGTGAGGAATATAACCCATGTTCTGGATCCAGCTGTTACAGCCAAATGGCTCATATCACTTTATTAATTAAGTTTTTTAAAAATTTATTTTGAAGCTACTAAGGCTTCTTAATCTATTATTGACCTGCCATTTCCCAGCAGGAGGCTCTTAAGGGTTGAATCTATGTAACAGGAAGCAATCTCTCAATCTCTAGCGTGTGCTTTCAAGAACAAATTAAAATTACTACTGATAAGCCCCATCTTATCTTGATGAAACATTTAGGAATATGGGAAGATATGTATTTTACCCATAACTATGCAGCAAAATTGTTTGCTTAATAAATTCTTCCTTTTCTCAGTTTGCTGCAACATCCAAACAGGTTAAGGTTAAAGAATAATTGTGTCTCATTTCGAAATATGCTGCACAATAAATAGCCTTAATTTACAAAAGGGTTGGAATTCAGAGCCTTCTAGAAATTTGAGTGCTTTTAAGATGTCCTACTTTTTCTTACTCAAAAGTCTGGACATGCATTTTTTCACAGATTTTCCTATAAGCTCATTTTTTTTTCAGATTTTCTTATAAGCTTATAATAATTGCTTATAATTTTATTTGCAGTGTTTTTTTTTCCTGTTTCCTGTGCATCTGAAAGTCTGCCTTTTGGGATATAATCCCTTTCTAAAACAAGATAAACATCTGAAATTGCTCTTTTCATGGTTCTTGCCCTTGAAGTCCTGTTTGTCTGCTCCACTGGTGCCTGCTCACAATCCTCCACTTGCAAATCCAAGGGAACAACATTCATCCTGAGCTCCAACAAACCCTTGTAAATGAGTTCAGGAGTGATGCTGTAGGTTCTGCTCACACACTGGGGAGTTGGGCTCCTCCAAGGTCTGTAATGCTGCACCCTCTAGTCCAGAAGGCAAGAGTCACCGTGCTCAACCCCAAGAGCCATCGCTCCCAGCAGCTTGGGGGTGGAGTATCCAGTAGGTCACCACTTACCCTACAAACTGAGAGCATGTGGCATGGGCACTGCGTCAGTGTCCCAAAAGGATGAAACTGTGATCAGAACCAGTGACAATAGCGCTGAGCTGAAGAGTTTAAAATTTTTTGTTTCTTTCTTTTTTTTCTTTTAAAGATAAAGCTAAGCATGGACTTCCATCACCTCTGTCTTGGGTCACTGGTGAAATTCTCCAGTTTTCAGGTGTTGAAGCAGGGGAGTAGCTTTCCCTGCTAGTGGTTTATGGAAATACATTATGGATCTGAGAGGTAACTAGTGCCCAAAGGAGAGTTTGCTGCCAAGGCTTTGCTGACAGGTGCAAGTACACCAACAGCTTCTGTGTGAGCTCTGCAGGTGTCCTGCTAGTTTTCAGAGCTTGTCTGATAGCTTACTTCTGCCTCATTTAACCTCATTTATTGCTGTAAATCATTTATCTCTATTTAACATAACTCACAGTCTCTTTAACTTGACAGTGGAAATAGACACTCACCTGGCTAATCTTCATATAGAATTCCCAGTTTAGATTTTATTTAACTTCTATTAGTTCAAATACTTTTAAGGAACCTGAAGGAAATTTCTACTGAAATGCCCTTGTGAAAGATAAAATTTAATTTTTGAAAGATAAACTACCCTTTTTTCAACTTTCAAACATCCTTCATTACTCACATGTCATCCAATATAAATGTGATACTGGAATAAGCAGAAAATAAAAGTTAAAAGGAAGCTAGACAATAAAGTTTGCATCATAGAAAACATTTTTATATTTGCAAAATAAAAGGGAAAAAAAAGGAAAATGGACTTCTGAAATTTCCTCTGAGAAAATGCATCAAAAAAATCTGATCTTCACTTTTAACCTTGCTGTGAATAATGTCAGCTCTGGGTCAGCTTTTCAGTAGTGACCCCCACTCTCCCTCCTCTCCTCTGCCAACTGTTTCCCTTCCTTTCTTGGATTCCACAACAGAGCTGGTATTTCTCTTATCTCCGCTAGCTTTTCCCATATCTAAACACATAATTTCCTCCCCTAACTCCCCCAGTCACCAGCTCCTGGTAGTGCATGTACTCTCCAAGTAATAATTCTTGCTGATCTTGGCAAGCCATGTGGCTCTTCTGGCTCCTTTGCTCTCCAGAGCAGAACTGGGTGCAAAGCAACCAGGCTTGTACCAAAGCATATATTTCCCATATTCTCTTTCCTATGTTCTGTGTTGCAAAAATCAGTCTGTAAAATGTTATTCTCTATTATTTCACTAGTGGCCATGAAGTTTATTTAGTTTTATAGAAGAAACAAGTATTTTAACCTCCTCTTTCTCTTTTGAAAAGGGCTTCAATTTCATATTATTATTTTACTCTAATTCATTCCTTAAACTGTTAGGATGTCAAAAAACAACACCTCCTCCACATGTTTGCTAGAAAAAATGTTTTTGGGAGACCTATAAAAATGAAGTAGAAAAGTGATCTCAGACATAGTAAGCATAAGAAAGAAATGCCCAAGAATGCATTCCTGTGTGCTACAAAATAGGAATTAACTTGATATTCAACATTTCTATGACTAGTTTGTTTTTTTGCCAAGGTTCTGGAGTGCCTGGGAGCTCTCACCAGAACAGGGCACTGCTGTGGGAGGCACTGTGCAAACAAACAGGAATAAAAGATACCTGAAAATCTAAGTCACACAATAAACAACTTGGGATCTGCATAGATGTAATTGCTGAAGTAAAAACCCTCATTGTTCCGTCTGATTTTCAAAATAAAATTCCAGCTGGTACAGAAGAAGGCCTTCCTTCAAGGACAGCAGAGTCTTAAAGTACTGGGCATGAACTCATTAGGCAAAATGTCTGGCTCCTCATAGTCCAGCCAGAACTGTGAAATCCAACTATTTATATTTGCATTTTTGCAATGGCTATCAAGATGGCATTATAAAAGAAATCTAAAAGAAAATTAAGTGGGATAGAAGGGCAGCACTGCTGTGGAAACAAATGTAGGAGTGACATCAGAAGGTAGCTGTGCTTAGTTATGAGACCAGACTCCTTACAGGAAAAATGTGCTACCCTAGCCCGCAGCCATGACTCTTGGAGGCTGTGGTTTCCCACCTATCCAGTGGTAATAATGACAGGAAATGAATGCCACTGATATTTGACAAACAGTATTAGGGGTTCCAGGTGAGGTACAATGCTGGGCATTTAAAGAGGTTGGTCTGGTTTGGAGTGGATTACAGCTTATTCCCTTGAGACCCAGAGAGAGAAGTGGGTGCTTAGACCTTTCTTGTCCAGCAAATGGGAAGTTCCTCTTGATTTAGAGGAAGTTTTTGGTAGAAACAGACTCTTTTTTAGCCTTTTTTCCTCTTTTTTTTTTCCTATCCTCTTTGTGTACATGAGGATGCTGTATACTCAAACTGGCTTTTTCCTGTTAAAAAGAAGATATGAGAAAGGTTTTCTACATGCACAAGTCTATTAGTGGCTGAGTGCAAATTTCCTTGGAGGAGAAAACTTCACAAAAGGTTTGGATCCACAGGTTAACTCTCATTGGCTGTTAAAGCCTGACCAGTTGATAGACAAATCAAGAATTTAAGCCATTTTCTCTTCTATTTCTTTATCCTCAGATGACCCAACAGATTACCCAACTGGAGTAAAAACATAATAGCATAAATGTTCATAAAACAAGGAATAAATGGTAGAGAAAATTATTTCCTTCCCACCTCCAGGGTAGTCCATAATAGTACACACAGCAATGACAATGTACAGTCCTGTACACACTCTGTTTCAGGCAACTTGTGGGGCTTGAAGCATGGAGCAAAACAGAGAATGGTTTGGAACTACAAAAAAGTATTTCAGTTTCTGACATTCCTCATCTTCTGAGATAAGCACTAAGCCACTTTTTGTCTATCAGATGCTGACCATTTTACACATAGTCACTATCAATCCGTAGGAATCAATCAGTATTTTATTGTAGATCAATCACCACTAGAGATTTTATTCATTAGGTGTTCAGTTAATCATTTTAGCATGAAAATTGATTTTGTTTACAAGAGGATACCTGGAGCCTACTTGGGTAGGTGAGGTGATCAACTTTTTAAGAAGCAGGGAAAAATGAAGGGAAATGCTAGAATCAGTTTGGGTAGATTATATTAATCCTCTGACTCCAGTAAGAACATAATTTCATCCATGATCTGATTTCTGTATCAATAAGTACATTCACTATTTTACTAAATTTTATTTTTAAAAAGTCATTTGTGAAAAATAACAGGACATTATTTGTGCTATTTTTTCAGGTTACTTGGGAATTAACTTATCATGGCAGTATTTCATTTACCAGAATTCTTTTCTTTGGTATTTTACAATTGATCTGCCTGATTGTTCAGGGAATACAGCTCAGACTTAAGTACAAGTAAGAAATCACTGAGAAAGCAGAATTTTAAATGCAACCAGGTTCTTTTAGCCCACAAAATCAAGAAAATTTTACATAGAATTTTTTTTCAACAGTTAATTATCTCCACAAAGTGATCCGGACTTGTAACCTAGTCTTCTAAACGGACTCATTTAAACCTCCCCTGTTTCTCCCAGCTGACAGAGATTCAGCCTAAAGGTGCTGAATGTGGCAGAGTAAGGTAGTTAAAACCACAACACAAAATGACACCTTTCTTTCCATGGAATCGATCTAGCAATTGCTCTGTGTTGCTGTAAAAACAGATTTTTTGGCTGAATTACTTTGGCTACTTCTCTGCATTATGCAACACCCAGTAAGAGCAGATAAACTAAGATTACTTAGCAGTTGTAATTATTTAACCTATGGGATTTATTGCATCTGAAAAATGAAGTCAGTTCTCTGGAGAAAACACACAGTTACTTAGAAATACATGTGAAATATTTGGGGTGAAGTAATTCATCTGGAATGGTGAAAATTTAATTTCTGTAATTTAGCCCTAGATCTGTAACTGTACTTTGTTTCACAGGAAATTTCAGGAATTATTTTATTTGACTAGCAGTATGGAATCAAAACCTGAGAATGTTGAAAAGAGGCTGGTGCTGGAAAGAGTCTGGTGCTGAAGCACAACAGCTGTGACCTACCCTCCCAGCAGAGCATGCTGGTGGAACAGCCCTGGCTCCAGAGGAGTAACACTGGAGAACCAGCCCAGGGAATTGTTATGAAGAGCAAAATTAAAGGGCACATACAAAATATTTTGTTCATTTGTGCTCCACAACTTTCTGCATTAAAAATTTTGGTCCTCAGATTTCCAGCTAACCTAGGAGATTCTAAGTTCTGTAGATAACTACATTTTTGCCTCCTAAGTCCTAAGCAAATAAAGATCTTTAAAACATCGTCAAAAGTAAACAAACATGTCTCTTATAGCCACTCTGGTGAGATTTACCAAGTTGTCATTCTTTCATGTCTCATAATCATCTAGACATTGGCATTCTTGGAGCACATAAATGAGGAAGTCTTGCACACAAAGGGGCTATGGGAGGTGGGTGATGAATCAGATGCTGGAATCTCACTGTAAAGCTGGTTTCTTTTCTTTTGAAAAAGCAGAAATTCAGATGGCAAATACTTAAAATTTTTGCACAAAATGTTCTCTACTTCAAGTTTCTGGAATCCAGCTCTCTCTATTTTTTTGCATTCCATTGGGATATAGTTCTGTTTAATAACATCTTTCTCTTTCAATGAATACTGAATTATTGAATAATTTCAACAGAAAAGATTGGAAGAGATAGGCTGTACTGTGAGGCTAGAGTGTTTAAGAGGAATGTGTGGGTTTATAATATGTTAGCAGAGGGAAGAACTGACAGTGGGTCTTCACATCTATGCAAGGGCTGTAACCATTGAGCTTATGGCTGAAACAGTAGGAACAATATTATTTATCACAAACTTCCCTGCAAGGAAGAACCTAGTGGGGGATTCCTTGCAGAATGACAGGCCAGTAGTCTGCTGAGACTGAATTGTGTCCCACTGGCCCACTTGAAGACTGCTTTTTACTAAGGGTTAGCTGTAATAGATACTACTTGTTTGTCTCTCCCAAGTACAATTTATGGCCCTCAAGAATGCCATTGAAGGTTATGGGTTTCTTCATTTCAACTGTGATGAGGCTGAATAAGTATGCTTGAATTTATTTTTTCTTTTGGTGAAATATCTTCAGCTAATAATGAGGATTTTGAACATAGCTGAATCTTTCCTGTACACTTCTAAGCTGCTGCTGGCACCCAGACAAGCACACATCATGGTATTGGCACCGTGCTCCTGGCAGGAGGCTGGGACATGTAGACTCCCACAACAGCAACAACCAAGAGTGCTCCAACACTTGCTTGGCCCATAGCCACAATGTGTTTTTGCCATCTCCCTAGAAGCTATCGAAATCAGCTTCTAAATGTTCCCAGATTCTTTCCCCCGGGGAGAAGAAATCTGATGGTGACATTGAAAGGCAAGAATCCCACAGGATTCTGTATGTCAGCCTGTCACAGACCCCTTCAGCCAGAAATATTTCTTTTTTGTCTTAATCTTTTATGTGGCTTTTTTACAGCTTGAAATAATGTTTCCTATCAGTTACAGAAAATAATATAGTATCCTTATAAATGTTTATTTATCTGTTCAGTAAAACAATGAGATCTGGGGCTAAATGCTGCAGACAAAAAGGAGATTGAAGTAGCATGCACAGAGATGCAGCTAATACCTCTAAGCAAATGTCATGTTCACAGTACTCGTGGTGAAATGGCATTAGCCAGAGCAGTCTTTTCTCTCATGTCTTCCAAACAATCACTGTTCCTTTCTAATCTGAAATTCTTCCTATCCTCTCATTCTATAGTGACTCTGTAGCTAGGCAGAATTTTCATTAAATAGGCACACACTTGGCAGAATATCTTCAGCTAGGATATTTACAGATAAAATTTGTTTAAAAAATTTAGCTTACTCTAATGAAACATTTTGTTCTCTTTCCTTTTACTTCACTCAAGACAAGCATTCAAGAGGTTGAAGTGAAGAGGTCACAAGGAAACACCCTGTTACCTATCAATCTTTGGGGGATCCCTTGAGATACTCGGTGTAGTTACTCAGAAAGTCAATGGTTCATGAAACAAAAATGTAGGTTATGTTTAGGAAAACATTTGGGCAGAAACTCAGCTCATATTGCAGGTATTTATCCAATTTGAAAGAAAATTGTTCCAAACAGTTCCTTGCACTTTAAGCCACTGAGTCACCAATTTCTTCATCAGCAGAAAAGCAGCTCCTATGTAACACACAGCAAGGAAATCAGAAAATTTGCTAAAAAAGGGGTCACTACTACTATTTCACTAATGATATGGTGCAGGTTTTCAGGTGGCCCATCCATCAGACCAGTGCTGATTTGTAGCTAGTAAGGACCTTTTCACAGCAATATTGTGACAGCAGCAGATGTGAGCTGTCACGGACACTGAGCTGGGATTTCTGAGCAAAAAAGCCTTGTTGGGCGCATGCATTACAGCCTAACAATGCTGTACCTTGCTAAATGATGGGCAAAATTAGTCACTTGCTATATGGCATTAACAGGTCATGCTCAAGGCTCTTGGTATATTTTCATGGTCATGAAAGATTTATTTCTCAGATCACCTGCATATAAGACAAATATCCATCACTTGAAAAGAGGAATTTAATTTGTCTGGACAAAAATAACCTCAAAGGCTCTGGGATCTCTGAAGATAAACTCCTTGGTATTTCTAACAAGCTAGAAAAAGAAGAGGAAAAATTTCTGCCTTGGTCTAATTAGAATCTTGCCTTTTTGATCCCCATTTTCAAGATGCTGTTTTTCAGGACCCAGTGAATTTGGGCTTTGGTCACATGGCATGCATGCCTGTGTGCAGGCAGGGAGCTGTGGATGTTGCAGTGAAGGGATCTCCTCACCAGGTTTTGGAGAGTGCAAAGCAGAGTCGGGAGCGGGGTTGCTGCAGCATACTGATACACCAGTGCTTATCCAGGTGGGAAACAGCACATTTCAGCGTTCCTGCTCTCGAAAGGAAGAATACAGCCCAGCCCAGCACTCTGGAAGGTTTCCAAGTCCTTGCAGGCTGATAGGGAGGCACAACACATACAGTATGTGTCTAGCTTAGGAACAGGAGGTTCTTGCTGTGCTATAAAGTGAAGGTTGGGTCTCACAGAAAACTGGCTTTCCTCAAAGATGAGGCAATTTGTACTTGGAAGCAGTTCAGCATTTATGAAGGATCCTCTCTGATTGTAATGAGCAATGATATAAAGCTACTTTTTTATTGCTTTTCTGTGGGAACTCAGCACATCACTCCGGATGTCCAGAGTTACTGAGGTAACCCTTGGGGGGGGCTCTGAAATCCTGGAATGTTGCCAGAAGTGCTTGGTGGTTGGATTTTGACCCTGCACAGGATGTGCCACCTGTATGAGGACAAGAGGATCACTTGGGGATAAGTGGTGTAAGAATTAATTATTCACAGGGTGAAAATACAGGTTTTAGGATTTTGGTAAAGGGGGTTTATGGAGACAAGATGGAGGAATCAGGGCATGTCTTGTCCTTCTTCTTTCTTCTTTCTTGTCATCCATTTTCTGTGGTGATGCTGGCACTTTGGAATTGGTTCATGGTGAATGTGCACTTATTAATATGGGTGAAAGGTAGTGGGAAATAAAGGTAAATATGATGTACGTAGTTTTTAGTATAAAGATAGATGAGCGCCCAGTGGGAGGTCAGAGTGCCCTTGGCTGCCTTGCTGGTCAGACCTCTGTCAGGCTGGAAGAAAATTTTGTAGATAAGAAATAATAAACAATACTGAAGACTGAAAATCTGAAGAGTGCAGACTCGTCCTTTGGAGCGCAGGCTGTCCCAAGGCCATCCTACGCGTGACCGGGCAGAGACAGAAGCCGGGAAATATAACTTTTCAAATTGAGTTATATTTTGCGTTTTTAAAAACTTCTTAGTTGATCTTATCGAGTATAATTTCCCATTCTGTTTTCCAGTAATTACTGAAAGGAATCAGACTTCATTGTGGGGTATGTCAGCTCTGTGTGGCCTGGAACCAAATTGGAATAAAAAGAGGAATTATATGGAGGACAGGGTAATGTCTGCTCTATAGTGGAAATTCAGATTGTGTAGTTTTCCTGCAATGCCACATGATTTCTCCATCCAAATCCAACCCAGCATGATCCAAACCTTGTTTCTAATAAAACATAAGGTGATTACTTGCTCAGCCCAGTCTGCTGCCAAACCCCTGTGAAAGAAATGGTACCACGAGGGCTGAGCTTCACACCACTGTGACAGCAGGGGCTGGCAAATCTGATGGACATCAATTGCCTAAAGTGAGTTTATCCCCCTTCTGAGCCATGAAAAGGTTTTCTCAAAAACAATTCCAGGCAATAATGGTTTTACAGACAGAAATGTTGTGTTTCTTGAGACTGTACATTGTACCTTTTTGAGGGAAAAAATAAAGAAAATGGACAGTTCTCAGGACAATTCGAAGGACTTTTTGAACTTGGAAAGAAATCCTTGTTATGGTAACAAAAGAGTTACTTTATCATTTTTCCTGGGTGTAATGTTTTAAGACAAATAAACTTCCTGATTTAATTGTCATTGCTAACTGGTTTTCATTTTTTTTACCAAACATGTGGGAAGAATTATAAAGTACTCTCTATCAATAGTAAAAGGCAGTAAAAAAGAGCTGAGTTACAAGGGGTATAAGAGTGCAAAGCAAAATTTTAGGGAAGCAAACTAGTGGAGCAAAGCTAGTACAATTTTCTGAGAGATGCTGTCATTGTATTTGGTTGCAACAGGGCATCCCTGGAATTAAAACTGATGAAACAAATGAAAGTATCAAATTAACTAAGAATGTTTGAAACACAAATTCTATGGCAGTCCAAGAACTTCAGTATGAGTATTGCCTCAAAAAAGATTGGAAAGTTAGAATTTTGGCTAATAAGAACATGTGAGATTCTTCTGGGTTAGTTTTACAGAACATCATAAAACAGAGGGCTATAAAACCAGCAGTGCATACATAATAACAGCTTACTGCAAACACTCTGTTTTAAGTTTAGAGGAAAATTTGATTTCAGAAGTAAAAGAAACATCTGTGTTTCTTCCAAATAACCCTAACTAGACAGTATTTTATGTAGTAAACAAAATGGGAGACAATAGCTTCTTTCTGACTACAGTATGATAATAAACCTGAGTTTGAAAAAATAAATGTTTCATCCTAAAAGATTATGACTTAGCAGGAATAGCCAATTACACACATTTAGCTTTCTAGAACCACTTTATGTGATTAGAAAAATGAATACAAGGGAATTAATGCATATGCTCCTACATTCCTCAATGTAATTTGTGCTCTATACATCTGTGTTTTAGATGACAAATTTTAGGGACCAGGGCTTTTGCAAAACATCAAATAAGCTGTTCATCTAAGTATAAAAGAACAGTATTGTGTGACAAGAAAACTGCTGATCAGATTTAACTTTGGAAAATAGCATGGCTGTTCATGTGGCTTGTAAAAAAGTGGGTGAGATTTAATTTTTTGAAAGAGTTTTGAGATACAGGAATGGCTCAATGTGTGAGAAGAATCCCCCTGGTATCTGCCTATGTCAAATATGGCTGCCATGACTTTGCTTTCCATTTTGCTAGATTTCAAACCTTTGTGTTTAAAGAGAAAAATCCAAATATTTCATGTGGAACAGAAAAATTGTATGTAAGAAGAAAAAAAAATATAAAATAAATTTGCATTGATATATAAAATATTTGGCTAACCAGACTAAAAGTATGCCCATCTTTATTTTTGCAGATTGCCCAGCCTTTGTTTGCTCCTGCTGTGGTCTGGCTGTACATGACTCTATTAGTGCTAAAACCAGCTGCCTATTTGAGAGCTGGTTTTATTGACATTAGGTACCAGAATTACCCAAACTAAAGTTTGCCTGCTATCTCAGTCCTTCTGTTCTGTTTTAGGGAGATCAGTTAGGTCCTTTGTGATCCAACTTGCAAGCAATTTCCACTAACTTTGTGAAATGTGATCATGAAAGGAGCTCTGTTGTTCACAGGGCATGGTGAGTAGAACCGACAACTTCTGACTTTGGAGACCGTGCCTTGAGGCTCAGCCGCTTGCTGGGTGTGAGATGCCTCCAGTTTTCCTGTTCATTTCCTAGCTTATGTGCAGGGTCAAGAAAATGCAGCTTCACAATGTTTTCAAAGTCATACAGTCCAGCAGCAGGCTTGGTGCTTTCATGCAAGGCTGGAATGGTATCTCCAGTCTGAAAAGATCTTCAAAAGATGTAACACAGGGGTTTGTCTGCATTTCTTTGTGACTTCTCAGTCAAATAAACAAATCAACTTTTCATCTACCAGGCTTCCAAAACTTCTCATGGATATGGAAATTATATATGTGCAAGGTATATATGAAATCTCTGACTTGGATTTGTCAAAGCATTACAAAAGAAACAAACTTTGTGTTAAGAAATATCAGACTGTGTGAGGCTGGCTGTTTAATGAGAACATACTACTCCACACATTTTTATGGGCAGAAAGGAACAAAGCATTTTGCTTCTTTACATGAAGGATGTTTGGTTAGACTTGATTACTCTTGCTCTTCTTTTACTAAAAATGATACGTTTGAGAGGAAATTCAATCTTATAAAAACAATATTTCGTTAAAACCTGATATTTATACTTTTATTTTTCTTCCAGGCCAGCAATAAAAGAAAATATTTGAAACTTGGAGATTACCCAAAGAACAGAAATTTGGGGTTATAAGAAACAACACTGCTTTTCCAGGCCTGAATTTCACACATATTGAGTGCTTTGCTTGCTTCCAAACTGGTTCCTTACTGTGTGGCCTCTGTAGAAAAAAATCCATCAGTTCACCATTTACTCATATGTTGGTCATTCTCAACCATCAATGCATTTGTGAACCTCCCTGCTGTTTTACTAGCTTGACTGGATCCACATGAACCCAAATCTCTGGCCTTTCCCACAACCTGCTACCCAGCCACCCCATCAGAGCTTTCTGATTCAGCCGGTGCAGGGAACCAACGCAAGAACCATTTCACAACACAGAAGGTGTATGTGTATTTTCCCACATTACTCCTCACCCATCCCAGCCACTAACCAAACATGAGGTGTGACAGAAGACATACTGTCAAACACAGGTAAATGTAATAGATCATTCATCCTTCTTGTCTTTGCTGTAGGATTATAGCTGTCCTGTTTTTTCAGCAGTCAATGAGAGAATTTAAGTCTCAGAAACTGATTGTGTCCCTTACAGATTTCCAAAATAAACAAAACCTTGAGCAACATATCTAGCAACTTAATTCTCTCTTTTGGGTTGAACACCAAAAAACTATATACGTATTTCCAGTTATATTGCAGTCTATGCCAAAAATATTTGCAAAAGGTCAAGAAGTCAGTACAAGAAGTTGTGTTGGATGATGACAGGGACTAATTCAGTGCCACAGTACCTCCATTAGCTGAAAGGACTGACCTTGTGTGTGAAATGGCAGAGACCTTGAGGGTTACCACGTGCTCATCTCAGTCCCATTTCTGAGGTTTAGTGACATAGTAGCAGAGTCAGACATAAGCACAGAGAAAGTAAAGATAACCACTACCTAAGGACAAAAAATAAGAGATTAAAACCAGCCTGTTTATGCTGGTTGACCTTACAGAAATATTTTAATGTAATTGTATCATTATGAAGAGAACAGTAATGGTTTTATTCAGTAGGTTTTCTGGATTGCCTTTTAAGTGGATGAGAGGCACATATGAAATTCAGCTTCAGTCCCACCTTCCCCCCTGAAACCATCACCCTTACTTTATACAGCACAGTGAAGCCTCTTGATGTGGTATTGCTCCCTTAACTGAGCTGGCAGACCTATCTGTCCTTGCAATCTTCACAGTCTGCCTTCATCAATTCTCCTTCTCTTTCATGTATGCAAATCCATATCTATGGCATGAGCCATCAGTTGAGTTTTAGATCTCATGAAGAGGCCCACTAATAGTGCTCAGATCTTTGAATATCTGCATATTTTTTAGTCAATTCTGTTCATTTCAGGTCTGCCATTAAGATGCACTTGAAATTTCAACTTCCTTCAAAAAATCAGTTCTTTATGTCCTACCCTCAGACCACAAGCTCATTCCATACTGTGCATCAAGTAAACTTGGATATCAAAAATATTGTGGTCTTGGGTCTAACTGGAACTGGAAGTAGCAAGGTAAAGGCTGTGTATTGCAGGAATCCAAACTATTCAGTATGTCAACACTGTTTGAAGAGCCATGTGTGCGTCATATTCTTGTTTGCAAGCTAATTAGATTGCTTGTTTTGAAAGATGGATTAATGAATTAATCACAGGGTGTGGTAGATGTTTTTTCTTGGCATTCTAAGGCTGATTTAATATAAAATGTTTTATTTTTTCCATGTATGATTCACTTCAGAACTCAAAAACACATAAAACAGAAATGTAAAAATGACAGCTGTGCTAAAACACGAATATTATAATCACTTTGGCGCAGCCAGTTTTCATTTAGGTCATCTGAAACTGTAGATAGTACCATCAACCGTAGAAAGAAGGAATTATATGGGAGATTTCTTGTTAAGAAATCAAAGCTGAATGGAAAAGGGTGTGGTTTTGATTGCACAAAATGTCAGATGGGTTTCTGGTTTGCAAATCTGGAAACAGGAGTGGTTCACATTTTGATGCTTTCTCATACTGCAGCATTTATGGAATTTATATTTTTTTCAAATCAATTTAATTGTGGCAACTCCGAATGTTGCAAAATTCACATTCAAAAGCAGAAGGCAGCAGAGACTGGGATCTGGCTCAGCCTCTGACCATTTCTGGCCACTCATTTCTGGCCAATTTACCAAGTCAGGCATTTATATGTGCACTTTTCACTTATTTTCCTGTTTTTCAGCTTTCCCATTCTAAACAACTGCCCACCTAATGGGTATAATTATGCACATCATTTTCATGGTGATCCAACCCACTGAGCACTGCACGGAGAGATCCTGGCCCTTGGCACACAAGAAAAGGAAGAGCAATGCCAAGTTGTGTGATTCTGAGCAGGACACTTAGCATGAGCTATGAACCACCTGGTCTTCAACCACTTTGAAAATGAAAGGTGGAGCCAGATTTTGAAAAGTATTTACCTTAATAAATAAAGATCGATATAAATGTCCAACAACAGAGATAAGGTGCCCTAGACACTTTTTAAAGTATTTCCTGGGAAATTCTTGGGAACTCTATCAGTAGGGTTAGAAAGCTATGCACTTATTAACAGAAATCAAACCTTTGCAAATGCAGTCTTTGTTTCTGATCCCTTCTGTTTTTCACCTTCAGCTACACAAACACTGTGCAGATACAGGACTGTGCAGTTCCTTCACCAACAACCTCCTTCTCCTTCTTCTTCATTACTAAAGCTGAAGAAATGTAAGAGACCAAAGCAAAGACCGCAAAATCTATGTTACTAGTAAAGGAGATATTGTACACCCCAAACATACCCCATAAAGTCATGCAATGAGTCAAGGCAGAGTCCCATACCTGTTGATTAGTAAAATAAGCATTTTTCTTGAATATTGACTAACAGTTAAAAGGAAATTTAGCAGGAATATCACACAGGAAGACTGAGTCCTAATTATGTATCAGAGCATGACTATAAAAGTGTCTGAAGGAGATATTATCAAACCATAGTCAGTGAATGCTACCAATAATCCATAACTCTGCTAGGCGTGGATTTAGTAATGCATTGAAATCTCTTTTCACATATGCTTTGTTTGAAAGCAATAAAATAGAGAAAGCTGTCACCATCATCCACCTGTTCCAAAAGTCTCAAATTCATGCTTTAGCATGTTTTATAGAGCTCTTACTGCTGCTGAGATTTATTGCATCAGCTGGGAAAAAAAATTGTCATTATTTTATGTTTTCAGTTGTCTGACTGAAAATGTCTGGTAAAAAATCACTACCTTTTGGGCTGTTGATGAGTACAGTGATGCATTTCAAAACTCTATTAATACCCTATGCTCCCACCTGAGAGTCCAGACAGCAATTTTTAAAATTTCTTTTGCTTTTTGTACATTCGTTAGTGTGTGACAGTGCTGCAATATGACCACATGACCAACAATTTTACAATGTAGCGCTCAAAGAATATAAACCAACATTGCTCCTTGGAATAAAATATCCAGCATTTATCACAGACCATACTGTACAGAACAGACAGGGGGATGGATTTGCAGGAGGGGCAGGGAAGAAGGGCTCTGCCACCAGCCCCAGCATTCCAGCAGGCTGGATGATGTGGTGGGAGCCCCCTGCTCACTCCTGCTCTCCCTCTCCCCACAGCCACTTCCCCATCCCGAGTGATGCAGCCAGGGCTGTGTCCCTGCTCAGGCCCTGCTCCTCTTGCTCTGTTCCTCTCAGCTCACGGCCCTGGCAGTGAGCTCCCCTGGCTCTGCACAGCACTGGGACATGTGTCCTCCCCAAATCAAAGTCACACTTCTAGCACAGGCTGTGACTTGCACTGGGAACAGGGATTTCCCCAGGTAATGGCAATCCTAAGTGACCTGGGTGTCCAGAAGTGTGGATGGACTCAGTTGGATCCTTTGTTTTTCTGTGATGTCCTCAGAAAACTTATTTGCATTTCCAGCATTGTGTTACTCTTGGGAGAGTCACTCACACTCATAGGGAAATTTGGACTGAAAGGAGCTCAGACCACCTGGCTGATAAGCACAGAGAACATGGTCCAGTCCTGTGGTCTCTGGCTTTTTCAAGAACATGGTGCAGGCAGAGGCTGCTCAGAGGGCAGAGCAGAAGGAAGTGCAGGGAGTCAAAAAGGGCTCTCCCCTCCTCCTTCCAGCCCAGGATTCCTTAGCCAAGGAATGATCATCGCTGTACAACTTGTAAAAATCTCTTGTGATTAGGAGGGAGCATGCAAGAGCTGGGACTATTTTATTTTCCTCTGATTTACCTTTCTCAAGTGCTTAAGGTATGTCCTTCCTCTTTTCTCTCCAGAAAGCCATTTGAACTGTTTGTCAGTGGCTTCCTCACAGAGCTGAGGGTTTCAGCAATAAATACTTTGAGGCCATTTTGAGGCTCTGAGATCTGAAGCCTCACCCTCTGCAGCTGAGACTCCGCATGCTCCTCTCTAACACTTTATGGGATGAAATCAGAAAGCTATTTTGAGAAATAAGATTTCTCAAAAATAAGAAAAAAGAAACCCTCAAACTTCAATGCTACTAAGTCCTCACTGCTGAACTTCAATGCTACTAAGTGCTCACTGTCACACGCTTCTGTGTGTTTGGGATAGAAAAACTGCAGATATCTGTACAAAAATGAGGCAATGGAGAGTTGGATAATTCTCTGTCAGCTCTATTGCAATAGTTTTACAAAGAGCTTTTTTACTGTGTATCTGGAGTTCAAGAGCAGCTTTCCATCTGCATTACTGCAGAGTACAGTCTGTAATATTTTTTTCAGTCTCATATTAAATAAAAAATAGAAAATTGGAAAACAAAAAGGAGGTGAGTGTGACTTCAGTGACCCATTTACTTTTTATTAAACTTATTTTATTAGAACGTATGTGATTCATACTGTACAGTTTTGTTTGACTATTGCTTAGGTTAATTCACACTAGAAGGATGCAAAACTGCTCTTATGAAAGCAGTCAAGGAACTCATTTTAATTGCCAGTACCAAAGGGACACTTAAGTGTCTACTAATGTGCAATCTATTGGAAAGACGTGTATTCAAACTAAATGATGAATTTAAACCATACTAAATTCATCCCTCAATATAGACTGATCTCTAATTATCTGAATATTGTTTTAGATTTTAAAAGAAGTCTTGACAAAGGTTGAAGGAACAAATCCTTAGAAACCTAATCAAGGAAACACCTTAAATATTAAAACAGATATTTCCCAGTGTTTTTGTAAAATAGGCTTCATAGCAGTTTTAGTTCTAATCCTATTTAAAGACGTATTGGAGTAAAGCAATGAATGAGTTGCCCCACCAGATCCAGCAACTGTGTGGGCACTGAAATGAAGTTTAGAAACCTTTTGCTTAGCCTTTGTTCATTTGCTTGCACCCACTGATGGACACTGGTGAAGAACATCTCAGGCAAAGCAGATGCATGTGCTGCTGCAGGGGGATGCTGCTCTGTGCAAGATCATGTTTCTGCACATAAAAGGAGGTTATTGAAGTCTTTGGATTCACTCCAGCTCTTGTTGAAATCGTGGTAGAATCACTATGGCTGGCACAGTGGAAATTGTACAGGCTCCTTATGCTCCAGTGCAGCCTGCATCCATGAGAGAGCAGTAAATACCATTCATCATCACTTGTTTCTCATTAGACTTCCCTCCCACTTTTAGAGAAACAAAAAAAAAGGGGAGGTGGGGAAAGACTTGTGAGTCGGGGTTTCTACTGGAGGGATGCATTTCTACAAAGTGTTCTTTTTCAACATCATTGAAAATCAAGATTCTCCCTGTTGAAAACTACTGCAATGATGGAAAGCTTCCTTCTGATTTGGTTGTGTGGTATATTTTTCACCCTATACTCTCTTGACTTTTTAAATAGTTTTATTAGTATAATATAACCTCTTTATCTTGCTTCCCACACAGAGAAAAAAAAAATAAAAATCTCACAGACAACAGTTTTCATATGCATTTATTAGACACTGAGTTTTATTACTGCATTTCACTCTAAGCCTTAATATAAACAGGCAGTGCCATCTTAGAAAAGCTGCTGCAAACTTCCTGAGTAGTGCTCTACCTCCAAAAAAGCTCACTGAGCAAAACCATTGTAACTCAGCTGGCAGATAAAGTATTTGACTTGTAGTTAATATATTAAGGCTTTTCACAGGCATCTGGCCTAGGAAATAATAAGGCTTAAGATTCATGTATGCTCACCAGCTTGAAGTTTAGCCCCACCAAGTCAGACAATGTGTTGTGTTCTGAGCAGCAATTACATTTAAACCTTTCACTCAGCAGCAGATAAGCACCTAACATGATTTGTCTGGAAGAGCACCAGTTTTGTCCATATTAATCCTAAATTGTGGTCAGCTGCCAGTACAAAGGGAACCTTCATTAAAAGTGACTTCTTTTATTCCTACATAATAGATACAATGCTCTACATTTCATAGATTAGTCTTTAACTTGCCTGAGCTATCTCTCTTCTATGAATAGTTCACGTACAAGCTAGGAACACTCATTTCTCTGGCATTTATTTGGAAATCACAGCTCCCAATCACACCAGTGGCTAATGCTTTTATGCTTCTTGCTTTTTAAATATCACTGCTGTTCATTAGGCTGTATATTCTATAATTAACACCCCTTCTCCTCAGCAATTAAGTAATTTATCAGATAACAGACATTACTGTACAGGACCACCAGACACTGAAAAATGAGGCTTACTTCAACAGAAGTATGTACTTCTGTGCAAATTATTGTGATAGTCTTTCTAACTAGAAAGAAAATGAGGTAGATTTTGCTTTCAATAATACTGTTGTAAATGCTTAACAATTCTGGCACATCCACAGCATGGTTCTTCCAGACTCACACAGTCATAGCTGGATTATGTTTCTCTATTAGAACAAAATTCTCATCCCTCTCTGGGTCAGAACAGCTGCCCTCAGCCATACAGCTGATTGCAAGCTTCAGGATAAAATCTCTCACCTCTGACTGGGGACATAAGCTTAGCAATTTTATTTTTTTTTTAACATGGCCCATTGTTTCTAAAAAATGCTTCTTTCTAAATAAAAGTTCCATGGTTTCTACCTCCTCAACTGATGAGAAGTGACAGAGAAACAGGAATGCTTTTGGTAATCAGAAATCTGACTCCAGGCATACAGGCTGAACTCATTGTCAGTTCACTACTAAAGTATGGAATTGTGAGAAAGCCATTTATTGGGACAAATCACTGTTAAAATTATATGTGCTTGTCATCATGTAGCTTATCAATAAAAAATATTCTGTGCTTCCACATGGATTTTTTTTCTTTTCTCTTTTTGACATTTAAAGTTCCATTGAAATATAATCTCCTACTCTGGAAATAATTTACAAAGCAAATCCTTGAGTACTGTCACATGATGAAGAATCAGTGCAGATTTTCATTTTTGTAATTTTTATAAAGTTCTTTGCAAGATATCACTAAGAAATTATCTGGAGTTATGGGTCACAATGAAAGTTAAAGAGCAGAGATGTTGCAATGCAGTTTATTAAAATCTGCTTATTCCAGCAACTACTTTTCAGTGGCAGGTATGACTGTCCTGTGTAAATCACTAGTCAGGAGTTTCAGTGGCAGCTTGCCTATGCAAACCCAACTGATTATAATCACTGCTTCCCTCCTCTGCTGTAGAAATTTGCACTGTGACACACAACACCAGATGCTGGACACTGGCTACTATAATAAAAGTTAATTTGCAGGATGGTATGGGCTGCATTAATTTTCAACGTGGCAAAACACTAACAGCTGGCCCAACCTTGGGCCAGTGTTGTTTCATCAGCAAACTGGAAAAGGAAGTAAGTAATGAATCATATAAAGGGCTTTAGATGACAAGTGTTTAGATTAGTCAAAGTCACAGTAGGCTGAAGGGATATAAGAGTAACCTAAGAGCACAAAGCAGAGCAGCACAGTGACAACTGAAATATTTCGCAGCTAAAAAAAAAATCAATATGAAGGCATTTACCTGGAAATATGGTACAATTTATGCAATAACTTCTATAAGGAACTGAAAAAATCTTCCATGAGCACTTCCTTTCCCTGCCCCACCTCCTCCAGAATACTCTAGAGCCTGCTCACTATGAAACCCTGTGAAAAACATGGTTTATGTTAAATTTCTAGTGATACCAGGTAGGTAAGGGATTAAAACCCAAGCCTGTGATATTTCACTATGTACTTTAGCAGCAAGCCCTTAGGCTTTAAATTATATTTTTATTATATAGTAAAGAAAGTGCCCATGGAGCAGCTGCATTGCACAGGGTGCTGCAGTGGTCACTGCAGCATCCTGGTCCCTCAAGACAGCTCGTGCTGAGCCGCTGAGTTGGCATGAACAGATGAGTGCCAAACTCCTGGGTCCTTTCCAGGACATGAGCAGGGTATTGCATTACTCAAGGCACCCAATTCTGGATCAAAAACAAGAGTGGAGCTACTCTCAGATTTGGGGCTCCCTTTAAATTCTAGGTCTACTTTCGTATCCCATCCAAAGATACTCCTGTGAAATTCAAAGACACAGAGAGATAAGGAGTAATAGTAATTTCTCAAACATGATTCCAAAGATTATAGATATTATATACCCCATGGTGTTGCTGTTAAAAGACAGCCATCCTTTACAGCTATAAACTGTGTTTAAATTGAACTTCAACTTCCTACACAGGCTGATGTTTTTACAAGCCATGGTCTGAACATGAAACAAACACAGCCCTAAATGTTTGTGTTTGGTACAAAAAGATATTCAGAGGACACTCTGGGCTGCTGCTCTAAAGAGCACAGCCAAAGTTCACAGCCAGTAGGAAGGGATATGGGCAATGCCCACAGATACTGTGCCCTGGCTCCCCCAGCGAGTTTATACTGGCCCCTTTCTGTTTGAAAGCTGGCTACCGAGAGGTTTGGCATGGGACTCAAAACTGTGTCACAAGTTACTTGCCATTGTCTGCCACAGTGTCCTCATTCATCTGCACTAAGCAAGGGATGATTAAAATAAAAAGGGGTTTTGAGACTGAAAACCAGAAATGGAGTGATAGAAAGACAATGGCAAGCACAGACAAGAGTTTTAATTGAAAATCTGGCAGTGAGAGAAACATCAGTAAGAAAATCAGATCTTGACTAGTTCGCCCATCATGTTCCCTCTCTGAAATAGGTTTAAAGCACACACCTGAATTATTCTGACTGAAAGCCAGTGTAATTTCAAACAAATAGCTTGTTACCCACACAAAAGCTATTCAGATAGTGCAACATCAAACAAGAGAGCAGCAGCAGACAATAAGCTAAACTAAGCAGCCCTTTGAGAGCACCTCATTGAGAAAGCCAGCTGAGCTACAAAACTGCTGGGGATGATTAACATCAATGCAATGTATTGGCTTTCTTCAAATAAAGACCTCAGTGTAAGGAAATGATTGAAGAGACAACTAAACTCTGTTAGAGTCATAATTAACAAATTATAGGTTCCATTTCACATATTGGTCTATACAACTCATTCAGGATAATGACAGAACAAGCTTTTTTTTTTTCCACAAAAAACATTTTATTCACATTATTTATTAAATTTTATTTAGAAAATATTGACGGTGAAATTAACTGAAATTCAGATATTATTAAAATACAAAATATAAAAGAATGTGCAAAAGTATCACCATAGGCATAACCTACCATAAGAAATATAAAAGTGCCTCAAAAGAGGGATTACTCTCTGTAGATGAAATTTGCAGAAACTTCTGCTGCTCTGCTTCAACAGCTACTGCATTATCACAAATATCAAAATCCTCTGCAGATGTAATCAGCATAGCTCCATTAAAATCAGTAAAACTATGCTGATTAATGCCATATGAGAATCTGGAGTAACTTAGCCAAAATTTCAAATGTCATGAAAAAGTAATGGCTACACTTTAATTTTAATGCTCAACTAGCTTATTCATTGCCTTTGTCAGAGTGTTTATCAGGGCATCTCTATTCCAAATTCTCTCCTGTGGGATAAGCTGCATTTGAATTTATACTTCTTGTACTGTTATGAAGACTTCTGAAAGCCTTTACTATGAACATTGACTGTAAACGACCATCTCTTTAAATGATAGGGCCAAACTATGTAAATGGCAGGGCAATAAACCTCTGAACACACTTGTGAAAAGTTCCTCTTCTTTAGCAAGCAGAGGATGAAAAAAACTTTTAAAAATCCATGGTAGATTTTCAGTGTTGGACTCTCCTTAGTTATAATAACAGACATTTGATTTTTCAAATTTTAACTGATTTGCAACAGCTGAAATATTCTCCCAAGGCAGTAGTAACATTTCCCCCATAAAAACATGGAAATCTAAACAAGTCTTTCCAAAATATTATTGCAAAGACAACACAGCAGAAGAACCAAACTCAGGTTCGTTATTCTATTAAATGCAGTTTCTTATAAAAAAGTAAATTGCATAAAAAGCAGCTCTGAAAGACAGAACTATGTCAGTATAAAACTTTGTGAAAAATATCTTACAAAAGAAGAAAGTGGAATCAACAAAAAGTGTATCAAACATCCAAGTGCACATCAGCTTTAAGACTTCAGGTTATACAGCTGAGATTTTTTCTTCAGTTTTCTCACTATTTTTCTGCGGGATAAATTTGCTGGCTTGTTGATAGCAGGTTTCTGATTTCCTGCTAACAAAACAAAGGAAGCAGTTAGGGAAACTGAAGGAAAAAACTGTTACTACTTGTTATTGTTTGAGTTTGGTTCATGTTACACTGTTCACTGTCCAATAATAACAAACACAGCAGAAACTGTAATGTGTTCTGCATTCTCTATTCTCACACTGTAAGGTTGCCAGTGTGTTCACCTTTGGCACTGCAATCCTACTTTGCTCTTTTCCTGAGCAGGCATCAAAGCCTTATCCAAGTGTCCTGCAGTGACAGCAGAATGGAACTAAATACACTGCCCTCTATTAAAAAAAACCCAAAAAACAAAAACCCAACAACCAAACAAAAAAAAAAAAAACACAAACAAAAAACTCCCAACCTATTCTTACATTTCTCTGAACAGTGGGACAAAAGTTAAAATACAGCCAGTGCTTGTGGGAGATGTAAAGAGAAAATTATTTGAGTTTCTGCACAAAACTCACAGAAGCTGCAGAGTGGCCTATGACAGTCAGAGCTAACACCAGACATGCTTCCAAAGGCTGCATGAATTGTGTGAGAGCAATTCAGAAAACAAGCATTCAGCAATCTTGACTAAAAATCTTTGTCTTTATGCTACCTATTTACCAGCACCCAGAGCCACTGTGGCCAATTCCCAATTCTTTTGCTGTCAGCCCAATGCATTTGCTTTCTTTTCCAATATAAACTTTTAAAGATTAAATGAATCACAAACCTTTTCACTCAAAACACTATAGATCAATTTAACAAACAAAGTTGTATATTTGCAGAGGGAAGGTCAACTGACTTCAACCTGAGACTCCAAGAGGTAACATGAAAGCTGCTGAGGAAGAAATAATGGAAGCAGGAGAGGAGGAGCAGGAGAGGCTTAAGTTGCCTGAATTATTTGCTTAATGTTGCTGTGCACTCCCAAGCTCTAGAAATGAATATGCATAGCACAATATTAATCAGCACTAATTATGCCCTTAACTTTGGTCTTCAGCTGCGCCAAGCCTTACTGAACTCTGAAATCCCAGAGCTGATGAAAAAGCTTGTAACTGGTACTTTGCATGTGGCTATCTGGTGCTCTAGTTACAAGACAGACAGCATCTCCTTACCTCCTTCTTCCATACACACAAAAGGGAAAAAAAAAAAAAAAAAGAAAAAAAAGAAGTGAGTTAGAGAGAAGCCCCAGGTGAATCTGGCTGGGTGTGGGCAGGGGCAGTGTGCAGGTGAGATGCTGAAGAAGCAGCTTCCTTCCTCCTCTCTCTGAACTCTCCACACTGGAGCCTGGCCCAACCACTTCACAGGTAGCAATGGATGCAAATTATAATCATAAGCATCTCAGATAAACTGAACATACTATTACAGACTCTCTCATAATACAATGGCAGAGACACACTCAGACTTGTCATCCACAGAAATATTACTGTCATGACTAAGTGGCAGCCAATATTGTTATTTCTGAGGACAGTGCTCAGGGTACAATCCTTGCCCCAGACCTGGATTTCCAGCCCAGAACTGAAGAATCATCTCCCAGCACAACGCTTCTGACTATACAACTTCAATACTGAGGTACTCAGATCTTGTGCTTATTATGTTTAAAATAGAGTTTTTTAGTTTTAGTGCTTTTCAGTTTTTCCTTTTTCCCAAAGGCAATGTATATACTTGATACAGCCTTAAATATACTTCCCATTAGTATCCATTTTTAAAATACTGCGCTGTGTCTGCTTCCTAAGTTTTCTGGGCAACAACATACAATTCTCTATCTCTCTCATTTATTTTCCTATCAAATTAATTAAATTAGAGTATTAAAACTTGCAATAGCTGCAATATGACTGCAAATAAAAGCACAACTGTTTTGATTTACAAGCACAGCCACTAGCTGGTTTCAATAAAAGCATTAGGAAAATCTATTATCATTCCAAGCTTTCCCCCCGCAGCCTGAGAAACAGCTGACACAGCACTACTGATGAGGCAGAATCTTTAGTAATGGGAATAGGAAATGTCAGTAGGCAACAGGGAATTGAGGAAGGATGGTAACTTCTGAAAATGCAAAGGAAAAAAGTAAATTGATTTCACAACAGACTTTAATCCTATTTAAAACTATCCAGAATAAAAGGATATCTTAGTTTGTGGTTGTAGAGATACTGAACAGTTAAAAGACTGATTCCTTGTAGGCTCTAGGAAGTAAGCTTAGTCTTTTTGTGTGCCCTCCTCTACACTTTATTCAAATATGGTGTAACCACTTCACATCACACTGATCTTGCCAGAAGGATTTAGCATTGCCTTTCAATTTTCCCTGCCCTTAAAAACATAAGAGTCCAAAATGCAAAAAGCATACCCCTGTAGCTGGCCAAGGTGAGTAAAAGAACACTATAAACATTTGATACTGTTATACGGATTGCTTTAAATGCTTGTGACTGACAAAATATGAAAAACAAATAAAAACAAGAAACAAAAAAAACCCCAAACCAAAAAAACCTCACCATTTCTGCAGACATTGTAGCAATCCTTTTCAGTGACAAAGTTGTTGGCATTTCCACCACAGCCAGTATATCTGAACTCTTTACATGATTTAGTCTTGGAGTCATAGTAATAGCGAGGCACAGAAGAGGAACACAATCCTTCATCCTTTGGGCTATAGCACAGCAAGGGGCCAGCTTGGGAAAAAAGAACAAAGGAAAAAAAGAAGAGAGCGAGAAAAATTACATAAATGTAATCACTGTAGGTGGCTTCTTAAAATTGATCCTGAAATAAATGTGTCTAAACAGCTCTTTTCCCCCTTGAATTGACACTATTACCAATGACTTCAGAGACTTTCTACTTCTAATTCCTGGGAGCTGTGAATTTGAGAAAGCAAGAAACCATCCTAGAAAACAGGATTAGATCCCGTAAGAGAAATTCATCAGCTATCCCCATTTGTGACGCTATACATATGACAGCAAAGATTTTTACATATTATTCTATATATATAGGAATATAGGAATAATTTCAGTGGAACAACCTCTGTAGAGAAAAAACAAGGCATAACTTTGCTATGATTTTCCCAGAAAATTTTGCTTGCAGCAAAAAGTACAAATCCAACAAGTTTCCTCGAGAGCATGTTTCTTTTTGCCTCAAATTTTTTTTTCTGCTGTAGCCCCTTTATCAAGTCATTGTATGTGCAAGAGAAATAATTCAGCTTTCACCTAAGAAAATGCTGATAATCTGCCATCAGCTACAAATAAGTGTCATCAAGCACTAATAACACTTAGGGAGGGCAGTGGCAGCTTTTACACATTCTGGTAGACCTTCAAAGAGCCTATCTTGAACTAGATATTAATCTGGTGTTCACATCAAAACTTAGTTTATAGTCACCTGCTCATAACTGCCACCAATCTTATTTAAAGCTCAAATGGAGAGACAGTGAAGAACCACATCAGGCATCTCACTTTTGTGAGAAGCTGAGCTGTTGAGTGCCAAAAACCTGAGCTGCCTACCACCATCTCCCAGGCCTGAATTTTAAAAAGGTGCTTCTGCTTTACATTACACTTCCCGGAATGTGACTGCAACAATCCCTAACACATCTTCCTAAACACACATCCTCAACCTTATTATTTCTCTTCAGATGCATCTGTACAGCTCTCTAGAAGTCAAGAAATTGATTTGGTATAGCTGTGGGTGTATTTAAGATCTCAGCATTTTTGTTCTTCCAGTAACAGCTTTGTTCTTTGTTCTTCCAGTAACAGCTAAGACAACATATTAAAATTAAAGTCGACAATATAAACATCTGCTTTACACAAGTCTTCAAAAATACCACTGTATGGGTATTCAGAGGAAAATATCAAATGAAGTATCATCTTCATATTACTTTCAAACCATCTATTTTATTAAAAATTTGGAACAACCATTACTTTTTTCTGGCAGACAGTGGTCCACACAAGACTGCAAATCTCTGAAGTTGTTGCCATTTCCATAACAGCCACCATAGATGAATTCCTCACACCTCATCGAGCTCAAGTTAAAGGCATATCTTCTTAGATAGCTCCTGCAAGGTCCTCCATCAGCCTCCATCCGGCATAATTTGGGCACTTCTGCAGAAACAAAAAAAAAAAAAAAAATCAACCTCTGTAAAACCAGCCTTTCATGCTTTGCATACAGAACAACATGGTAGTGCAGGTAAAACTGTATTACTTCAGTTGCAGGCAAGTCAGTCCCACTTTGTCCCACTTGCTTTTTTTCTGAAGGAATTCAATGCATTAATTAGCAAGTAAGTGCAATATTAAATCACATTTAAAATACTAATAAATAAATTCCATACATCATCTCTGGGTCAACTGACTCTGTATTTTCTGCCCAAAACTGCCATCAGCAAGAAGCTGCAACAAGCAGGAGGGTCATCGGTTGGACTCGATCATCTTAAAGGTCTCTTCCAACCTAAATAACACTATGATTCTAAGACTCTGTGATACATCGGGGG